GCGCTAAAATCAGCTGAAAGGAAAAATGATATGGCTTTAAGTTCAGCATAGTGCATCTGAGAAACATGAGGGGAGAGTTATGACACAAGGGAGATGTTAACATGACACACCAGTGGAAGATTGACACACCCAATTCCAAGGAGGCCTGTTAGACTTTACCAGAACGTATGACACCCGCAGAAACTTATGAAGAAGGGTGTTGAATGGTACTTTTCAAACCCTCTCATCTGTCCAACTGCCTTTCTGACTCTTCATGAGAGGCTCTAACAGTACAACAAGAAAAATCTAGTTTCTTTAGGATTTTCCAACTAAACCCGATCAAGATAATATTGTATTTCTCTGGGATATCTTTTGCTATTCTTTTTGGGCCACCATTCATTCAGACTCAGTGACACCATGCCCAAAAAACAAAATGAGATCCTACTTTAAAAAACATGCTTTCTTCTCTTTTGTTCTCTAACTGTACCAACAACCATTTATTTTTTCATCTGCAGCGCTCTTCTCAGAAACTAGTCTCCCCATTACTCTTCCTGGATGCGAGTTTGTTATATACCAGAGACATAATATGGTCCCAGAGGGCCGGATCTGCTTTCCGGGTTGTGATAAACTCGCCAGGGTGCACATACTGGTGTCTGAGCAGGAGCTGACCCTTAATCAGCGACGTTTTGCCAACAGCAATTGAGAGCCACAATTATCTGCCCTATAGATAGGTAGGCTGTATACTGGGGGCCAGGGGCTGTGGAAAGGGAAGAGGCTGTCAGGGGGGGGAGAGAGAGCCTGTGTTAACCTCTGTGGCTCGTGTTTCTACTGTGCACTAATGGACGCCTGTCATCATTATGGACAGAAACAGGAGGGCGCCTGCCAGCTGCATGACCCCCATAAAACCGAACAGGAAATCCTAGCACGGAATGAAAGGAAAGGAGATTCCTTCTCTTGGTTTTTTTTTCTACTCTTCTCCTCTCTCTAATGACCCCTCATTCACTCTCTGGCCTCTTATTTACGCTGCAAGCGTATTTAACTGCAGCGTCACTCACGAAACGGGGACAAATATGCTGGGTGTCCATCGTATGAGAGCAAGTCACGGTGTTGAGGGTGTGGTCATCGGATTGTATCTGAAATGATCAGTCGCTTCAGACGCACAGTTCATTTACCCCTGCTGTGCATGCCAGCAAAACACCTCTGTTTTTCATCCTCTGGTAACAGACTCGGGCTGTTTTATAATGTTTCTGTCACGCTGGGAGTAACCTGTATAATCATTACATACAGTGGTTCAACCTTTGCTCGCTAACTAAAGTCCATGCCTGTAATGTGACAGGACTTTGTCACACTTCTGTCAGTGATGTCCACTGAAACGTGACAAGCACTTTATCAAGGAACCTTCCTATCAGATCGCCAGGAGATCATGCACAAACATGTGAAACACGACGTCCCCAGGAAGCAAGATTCCTTATTATGGCCAATAAGATAGCAAGACAATCTTTATTGTAGTTCTGAGGCTACACATTAATCCACTCTGTTAGAGCCTGCAGAGTTCATCATGTGATCATCTAAGTCACTAGCAGTAGTAACCTACAATAGTAATTACCATGGAATCTTTTGTGATGTGGCAACACTGACAAAAAAAAAAGCCTTCTGTGTGAAAGAGCAAGAAAGCACATACACACATGATTGTCTGTATTTGCATAGGCATGTCTGCGTGTGTGTGTGTGTGCCATGTCCATGGAGACGTCTCTGTGCGTGTGTGATCGCTGCATGATTCACAGTGTCACAACCGTGCGCAGAAACGACTGGACATCCTGAGCGGAAACCACAGCCGTCGAAGCTGCGTTTTCCTGCGACATACAACCTACCACTCTCACAAAGAGTCACTTGACTGGACCCTCATATAGGAAGTGAAAGAGGAAGCCCCTCGTCCATCCTGTCCTCCATCCCAATCTCTGCTCTGCGCTTCACGTGAAGCCACTCTTCACAGACGATCACCAGTGTGAGCATTTGCTGTTGCAAAACATCGGGTGAAAGAACCGGCTGAGGCTGGAAAAGGCTTGTTATTGGGGGTCAAATGTCTGTTCAGTTGACATTTAGCCACAGGAGAATAGTGCCAATCATTATTGCGAGGGCAAGATTCACAGATTGATCAACAGGGTTTGTTTAAAACAAAATAATATTTACTCAGCTGATCAACTAACGGGTCATTTTCTATCTAATCTCTGACGTTTTTTTTGTGACAGATACTCTGCGTTTAGAAAGTCACACTGGGCCAAACCAACACAGTCCACAGAAGCTGGGTATGATATCCCAGATGGAAGTGGCGAGTGATGTTCCACTGTGGGGCCTGTTGGCCCTCGTGGCTCGAGGCCTCTGGCTGTGTTCATTGGTGACAGCGTACGTCGCCTGGCAGCCTGCATTCCTCTGCCTCTCCCCACACAATGGTGAGTCTCTGCAGCATTCCTCTGTCTGTGTCCGCTGTCTGAGATGCAGCCAGGCCTTGGCAAGCCCCTGCACTCAGCCAAGAGATGGGCACCACGTTTAACAGATTCTGATGGGACACGTTCAAGTGTTTTCACTGAACACCAGCCATCTACGGGGCGTTATTCATTGTGTTAAAGTGTGCCACGGTTACATCTAAAGTGGACATCTTAGTCACAATGTAATAAAAAGGCCTCTGCAGAAGAGGTTTTGAAATAATTTAGGAGATGATCATGCTTCCTCTTTAACCAGCTTCATCATCGCATTCTGCCTTTTTTTTCTTTCCACTTCGTGCAGTCGTTCCTTCTCTCCATCTGTTTTTAAAAAATGCAAGCGTGTCTATTCTAAATCGTTTTCACTGCTCTTTATCCTTCTCCAGCTATTTTGCTTTCTCTCTTGTTCTGATGCCACAGCCGTGCAGACACCTTTCCCTCCTGCTGACTCAGTAGCCAGCCTCAGGCGCTGTGGGCTCGGGGTGTTGGTGGCGGGGAGGAGGGAAGGGGGGGGAGGGGTAGTGTGAGGCTCCCACATCAGGCCCAACAGCCTATCACATGCGAGGGAAAAGAGCTGGCTAATCGTTTCTACAATGGCACCCTGCACACTGTCACACAGTACCACAAACCGCTTTCCTCGCCAAACACTTCTACTGTATTATTCCGCCGTTGCTTACAAATCCTCATGTGATGTATGTAAGTGCGCAAACACACCACACGGAACAAAGAAGTGATTGAAAAACCACACCTACTAAAATGCATCAGTGCAGGCGATGTTAAACATATGCAAGTATACACAAACATGCATACCTTGCGCTTAGTTGTCTCCAATTTGCATGTGCCAATAAACCCTTACACTTGAGGTGGTTCAATCTGAAATGCTGCAGATTTCTGGAAAGGTTTTAGTTTATGTTAGGCACTCAGCCGTTTAATATTTCACCCGATTATGTGATTTAGAAATTACATCAAGACATTTAAATGATATGTATTTAAGACAAACAAATAAAAGGAACAAAGAAATGTAACTAATTTGATAACAGAATTCTTCAATATCTATCGAGTTTCACTCTCTGCCCAGCAGTCGTCGGAGTAGGTTTACCGTTAATGAGAATATTTACGATTACACTTCTGAAATAGAGGAAAATTAAACTGTGCCTGTAAACAAAGTCTCATTCCATCTATAAGAGCCACTGATTAATGAGCCCTTCCCAATAACATTAAAATATAGAGGAGCATTATTCATTGCAATAACCATCTGGTTATTTTCAGCTACCTCTCCTTGGCGTTCACAAACGCACTCCTCTACGTCACGTAGTCCCAGTGCAGCGAGCCGACCTTCAGGGATTGGGTCTGTTTACAGAAGGAACGTGTTTTTTGCACCTGTGGTTTGATTTTAGAGCTGCTCTCTCTCAACTGAGGGGTGAGGTCAAAACTGTCAGGGGTCACACAAGAAAAGAGAACCTGGTTTTCCAGGTTAAAGGGTGGCGCCATTAACAAAGCCACCTGCCCAGCTGAATTCTCGCTAAGCGGGAGGAGAAAGTCTCCTCTCACGGTGAAAAACTCCCTAAATTCGTCTCTGTCTTCTCAGCACAGAGGCCATGACAGAGGTTATAAACTCAATTTACAATGTGGCCACTTATCACACATTATCACAGTGGCCTTGGTACTATTACGGTCATCCAAATATTATTGTAGTCCTGAACTGGGAACGATCTGTTGTCAGGAAATTTGCTCGACGATTTCAAAATGTAACAGGAGGACACACAAAAAAAAAAAACAACCCCAAAAAATAAAACGGGTGCAAAAATTCCTCCGGAGCCGGCCAGAGGAGCGCCGAAGCAGTGTGTGTGCCGTGGTTGCTGTTTCTCTCTTCCTCTGTTAATGAATGCAGAGGTGATCTGTTTGTCTGAGGAAGAGAGCTGAAGGGAAGCCTGATTTCCACTCCTGTTTTATCTGTGCCCCACAGCCCCTGCCAGTCAGCCCCCTGTGCTCTCACATGCCGGGGTCCCACAGGAAGCAGCACTCCATGAAGGCCAGAGGTCAGGGAAGGAGGGAAAGCCACTCATCCTTTCATTCACCACCAAACCAACAGATACACAACGCTGTTACTGCGCTCCTTGTTTTGGCCGTCTTATAATAATAATATGATAAACAAATTAGAATTTATGTATGTTTTTAAAAGAATGTATGGGGTTATAGTATAATGTTAAAGTTATAGAAGAGGCAATGTTTTGTACGTGTTGTCTTCTACACTGCACACAAACTAGTTTCATTTATATATTCCTATCCAAGAGATTTCAATATTATAATTTAATGTAGTGTGTGTTTCCTTTTGTGGATTCAGCATTTTTTTTCATTGTATATTGTGAGTGTGAATCTTGAAAATGTTGTAAGCCCTCATAAGAATAACAAATGACAGTACTAATAATTACGGTGTATCAGAAACGTGAAAGAAAACTGTGCTATTTGAGGTAGCCTAAATATTTCACTGTGTGGACTTCTTTTTGTGGGAGAGTAATTCTATCAGCAGATGAGACACAATTTTAAAAAGTCACAATAGTTTTATTGATCCATAGCAAATTAAAAACATAGTGGATGAAAAACAATTTGCATAATCATATATTATCTTAAAAAGAAAAGCAAATAAGGAAAACATCTGTCCAGCAGAATCAGCTTCATAAAAAATAACAGAAATGCCATTTAAACGTAATTCTTCTTTGTATGTCGTCTATTTTAAGGAAGCGTGGACACAAAATATAATTTGAGCTACAAAAACTAAGCAAAGCAAAATCACTAAAATAAAGATCGATGAGTAACTAATGCAGAAGGATTAAAGTTGTATATTAATAAAAAGGAAATATTCTCTGATTTCAAGTATGTCCTTTCAGACAAAATACAGATACGCCTGTATAGAAAAAAAAACATCTCATGCATGTCCTGCATGCATGCCTTATTGTAATTTTGTGTCATAACTTGTTGCCTAGTTGTAATCTATTACAATGATTTGAGCGATATCCTTTTGTCCAACATTAATTACAACTTGGTGAATCCATGGGCTTGTTTGTTTAAAAAGCAAAGCGAGCTGTCAACATAATGCCTCCCCCATGGAAAAGTATCAGTTCTGCAGGAAATTTAACAAAGTCACATTAAATACTCAGGTGAGGAAGGGTTGTCACTGGTAGACCCAGTTTCGTGGTAACAGTTTGCACCGGACAGTTTATCACATTTATTTTTGTATGCATCCCTCTCCCGCATCAGTCTGTTCAGTTCATGTTTCAGCTGCTCAACCTGTGACACCAGGCTGGTCTTTTCGTGCTCCAAAACGTGCTTCTGCTGGACGCGCTTGTAACGGCAGGACTGTGCGTAACCTCGGTTTTTCAGGGTTCGGCGCTTCTGCTTCAGACGCATCACTTCGTCCTTGCCGAGGCCTCTGAGGTGCCGATTGAGCTCCCTGACGGTCATCGACACCAGCTGGTCATCTGAGAAGTGGTCGTCGGCGTTGGACAGCCGGTCGTGGCGGCTGTGGTGCGCACCGAGGACCTGCTTGTCCTCCGGCGACTCATCAGACTCGCAATCCATGTCATCTTTGATATAAGGGTCTTGGCAGTGACTGCTGTGGATCCCTTGCATGTCGGGGTGACCCGGGAGTCCCGCGTAGTGCTGGACAGGCTCGTTGAGTTGGCCGTACCCTTCGTAGTCGGCTTGGAAATGTGGCTGCTGGTGGCCGTGGGGCACAGATGGATGTCCCTGCTGCGCCGTGGCGCCGATTAGGGCCTCCATTGCGTCCTCGGGTGTCAGACCAAAAGCCTGAGGGTACATTTGCTGAGGGTAACCCCCGTTGTTGGGTATCCAGAACTGGTCGCCCCCGGGGTTATTTCTCTGCTCGTTTGGATTGAGGTTTGGTGATGAGGGTACCGAGTTACAAGGTGTGCTGCCGGGGGTGGAGGAAACGGAGTCCGGTCTCTGGAGCTGGCTGCATGGCCCGACGAAGGAGCGGTCGATCCCCTGCATTGCCTCTTTCTTAACGCCGAACTTCATCAAGTCGAAGTCGCTGACGAAATCCATGGGGGTTTTCTGCAGTCCCAAATGCGAATCGCTCATATTAACTGGCAAGCTGGTCTCTTCAGAGAGCTCCGAATGTCCAAAGCTATTTCATACAGTCAGCGAAATCGCGCTTACTTTCGAAAAATGGCAGTAATCCCAAACTTTGCTTTCAGTTCAGAAGGGGGAGAGAGAAAAAAAACATGCGTGCGTAAAAAGCCTCCCACCGTATCAAACTCTGTGCGAGCTGGAGATTCTGCACCGCGCAGCTTGTTTGGCTTCAGTCGCCACACAATAAGTCCACCGATGACGCCAGCGGACCGGACGCACCTCTCTGCCTGCTCAGGAGAAGCGCACTTTCTTCATAAAGCTGCATTGGCATGATGTCACGCCTTCCAGGCTACACCTCCGCGCTGCTCTCCAATAAAAACCCGCTGAGCAGGCTGATTTGCATAAGAGCTGCTACGAGCCTGTCCCTCCCCCCAACGGGCTGTTCGTGATGATCATTTGACCAAAACCTATAAATGTCTGCACAGCGGAACACCATCTTCTGCAATATGTTTTTTTTAACTGTTTGACTTGTCCTCCATTTTACATTTAGGCCTATTTATCCCACATGTTTGCTGAGATTTATCACAGTGTGTACAAGACCCGGTGAAATACCTTCACACCCAGGCTCGTCCAGGCAGTGCGTTTATTGTTTTTCAAGCCAATACACTAAAACATATGGGGTCACTCTGCCTACTTCAAATTTGTACTAATATTATTTTCTTTCAGCCATAATTTGGTTTACACGTATGACTGAATTTGTGGTGATTTATACAAGTTGTTGCAAATGCCTCTTTTCACCTAAACAACAAGAAGGCTATTCAGTTGACACTATTGTGGTCGCTGTGCTCTTTAGTTAGTTCACAGTAAAACACTGACATCTGGTGGCCACGTGCATACACTACATAGTCCAATCTCTAAATGCACTCCTATGAAGTCTGAACCGTCACAGACTTCCATAAGAGGAACAACTGTACTTCTGTGGCAGGCAAACTCAAGCTTATGTTTTCTATGTGAATTAACAAATTGACTGTTTGTTCATGCAACGGATACAAGTCAAACATTTCATGTTGTTCGATCAGTTCAGATGAAAACATTTTGGAAACAATCGTCATATCACAAGGCTTTCCATCTCCTTCCCTGTTTTCTTACATATATGTTTGTTTGTTTTTTGATGATTTGATTTGGGGACATTTCCGGTCGCTATCGCTCTTGTTTTCAAAGTTACAGAGTAGAGTTCTGGATTATTTTCATAGGGTTGTGCATTTATGGAACGTGTGCACAGAGAGCTCAAAACATCTGCGGCAGAGCCCATAAACGTGTTGATTTTCCAAAAGGTCGGCCCTGAGCCCCGGCAGCCAGAGAAGGGCAACGCATCCCACCATAAATCATGAACACCGCTGACAACAGCTCGGCAACATCTCTGGCACAACAAAAAAAACGGGTATGTTCCAGGATGTGCCGTCTGTTTCAGGGATGTCACCCCTAGCGGTGTCCAGAGGTGCCACAGCTGCACATGGTATCAAAAGGGTTAAGCGACGTTCCTGCCCTGACATGACCATCACACGCAGTGCTTACTCTAAAGATAGTGAAAGCTTTAGTGACAAGATAGAGGACTCAAGCCAAAACCAACAGAAAGTGCTGTCCAAGAACGCAGAGGTATTGTTTCAGTCAGCTTTAGTTGCTGGGAATAAAGGAAAAGAGGAGACAGTGTGACTGAGCAAGGATGGCTCAGGGACATTATGCTAAAGATAGGACACTAACAGCTTAAGAGCACATCGCCAGCAGACACTGGGGTCACATTTCGCCGCAAAGCCACACGCAAGAAAACAGTCACACCTCCTGAAAACATTTGATTTCTACACACAAATATAATCAATGAAAGCCATCGTTGCAACAACAGATCTTAGAAACAAGGCTTCACTTTATTTGCACCTGAGAACTGAGAGCATTACGTGGCGATGGATATTAATTTGATATTAATTCTGTGTGCACACCCACCTACAAACTCAACCTCATCATCAATTAAGTTTGAGGCTGCCATTTCTGTTACAAAGTATAGGCAGGATTTGTATGCTGCCTGAGAGGCTGGAAGCACAGAAGCGCTCACATGTCAAGACTTAGACGACAAGCACCGTCACTAGCATATTTTAAAATTTGACCTCATTCAATTTCATCCAATGCGGACACATAACGGCGCATCTTCTAGGAAACTAACATCCGTAGACGCACCAGATAATCCAGACTTTAATCTATTTTGTGTTGCAAAGCACAGCCTGCATCACAGCGTCCATTAACCGACAGTAGCGGGATGATTAGCACCATGAAGACAATTAGCAAAGGGTTATCATGAGGATAACAACAGTCAGTCACTTGTTTCTCTCAAAATGCAATAAATAAATAAATGCGACAGCTTCAGCCTTAAGAATAATTAAGGATAAGAGAACACAAATGTCAACACTGGACAGTTTTTGTACCATGTCTTTGTCTCCCTTTCCTTCTGTATACACAACATCTTTCCCACATGGCAAACAGGGTTCTGTGTGTTTCAATGGCTATTTTGTAAATACAAAGGGCCATAACTAAGAGTTGGCTTCACCTAACCCTCCAGTCCACATGTAGCAAACATGGAGCGAACGGGTAGCATCAGGAGAAAAGCCATAGCCAGACAACATAAAGGAGAAGTCATGATTGCTGGAGAACAACTCAGGTATGGGGGAGGGGGTGTATGACTTGTCTAGGCTCAGACTTGAAGGAGATTGGAGGTTTAAGGTTAAACATGTGGCTGATTTGAACTTTCAAGGTTGAGACTACACGATGGGAAACTGATCAAGGACCGGCGCTACCACCTGCGCACGTTTCCTAACTGCTTCGTGGCACAGGAACTGATAGACTGGCTAGTGAGCCATAAGGAAGCTCCAGATCGAGCAACAGCCGTCTGCCTCATGCAGCACCTCATGGATCATGACATCCTTCACCACGGTAAGAAGGACGCAGCAACACAAGTTTCAGCAAGGAGATAAATGTTGTTGTAGCTTCATTTAGAGACACGCCAACTTCAAAACTTACTAGAAACTGTATGTTGCCTTCTCTTAGTCTGTGATAAGAGGCCAATGTTGAAGGATGCCAAACTGCTGTACCGTTTCCGCAAGGACGATGGCACGTTTCCCTTCAACACAGAGGTGAAAATCTTCATGCGAGGACAACGGCTCTATGAACAGTAAGGGCTGCTGTTCATCATGTGCTGGTATTATCTCGTTTGACCGCGAACTGTACTGTCAACCCTAGTCGTTGCAAGACGGTAATCTCCTATCAAATAAAGCTAACTTTTGTCTTTTGAAATGCTCCGACCAGCACTTTTTTTAAAGTAATTTGCGTGTTCGTGACACATCTGATCCGTGTTTTTTCGTGTCCGTTTCTTCAGTCTCATCGGGGACAAGAACTCCATTCTGCAGCTGAGAGAGGAGCACGGCGTTGCATATCAGCGCTCCTTTCCGGGCTGCCAGTTGATAGACTGGCTCCTTCAGAACGGGGAGGCAGAGAGCCGGCGCCGGGGACAGGAGCTGTGCCGCGCATTGCAGGAGCATGGCATCATTCAGCACGGTGAGGGGAGCCCTCATTGGCCCCTTTCTGATGTGTGGCGCACCAGGAATGAGCGGGCTGTCAGTGGCTGCTGTCAGTGGGTGGCCAGCTGGGACTTTTTGCAATCTAAAGCGAATACACTCATCAACTCTTTGTGAAAAATCCCATTCATTGTAAAACGTGTTGTGTTGTTTTGTGCTCTCTCCCCCCCCCACCACCACTATTAGTGGCAAAGAAGCATGATTTCTATGACAGTGGACTGCTCTATCAGTTCTGCATCAATTTTCGCCGCAGACGCCGCCTATCTGAACTGTTGAATGAAAGCGAACAAGACGAGAGCGAAGATGTGGCAGCGTCCACACAAGAGGACAACCATGCCGATAGCCTGTTTGTTCTGCACAAAAGCCCGCCTCAGGATGGCAACAGTGCCTTCCAGTCTGGTAAAAGGAAAATTCTGCCCTTTTTTTGCACTTCATACACTTTGTTGTGAATATCAACTATCGCATTATAAACGTTACTACTAATCTAATTACAGTGAGGTTAAGTAAAGAGCTGAAACAGGTTACCAGTGGGCATCGAGGCAGCTTGAACTCCCCTCAGCTTCACTCTTCTGGACCTTTGGTCCAGCTGCCTTCGACTTCAGTGAGATGCAATCCTGAATCAGGCAAGTGTGTCATTAATAATCAATCACGTGACAAATGATCCAAAAAATGTCTTTAAAGAGAAAAGCATTAGATGTATTGAGGTCCGAAACTGGAAAATGGTGACTGTTTGAAATGTTTCAACACTTTTACAGTGCTAAGAAGACATTTTACATGTGAGGAGTTATTTGCACCAGGGGCACCTTTAATCAAGAGAGTGTTGACGGTGAGTTACTTTAACGACATAATCACGGATAGGGAAAATATTTATAGCATCGCTAGGAACATTAATCCAGCATAACTTGAACAAAAGTCCTCCAAAGTAAGGGACAAAACTAAAACATTCCTTTCAAAGTGGAAACTTACTTGGGGTGAGCTTTTGCCTACATGTTTTGTGATGTCAACAAAAAAATCATTGTCATGGATTAACCATGTAAAACAAAGCATTTACATATTTAGGCCCCTTCATAGTTTACATTAGAAACAAGACTAAACACATTCATGGGGACATACTCATTACATGTGGACTAATGAAGTTGTATCTCACCAATTCAAAATGATTCCATTTAAATTCTACAGATTTGTGTAATTTATCTCACCCTCGTGTCATCACAGGTGATAGGAGATGACCTGGGCTGGGGCTTTGTTGTCAGAGGCATGGCTCCCTGTTACGTGCAGGCCGTTGACCCGGGAAGCCCTTCAGCAGCTGCAGGAGTTAAGGTCAAATATATGTAAAGACACATGGCACTGAAAATGGAAATATATATCATATTTTACTCTGTGACAAAAATAAGACCCATGTACCTCACATCATCTTCTTTAGGTGCGGCAGTTTGTGTGCCAGGTGAACGGAAAGTGTGTTCTCTTCCTGGACTACAGGACAGTCACCAGGCTGGTGATGACAGGGCCTCACACGGTTGTTCTGGAAGTTATGGAACCGCTGGAATGACAACAACAACAGTTTTCAAGTCTAGCTCTTGTTTTGGACACAACTACATTTGCTCAAACTGAAATATAAAATTATGTAATTTTTTTTTTTCAATTATAGCTTAGACTGTATATTGTGTAGCATGGGCAGAGGTCATGTGCTCATTTCTGAGGGGGGAAAAAAACACACAAATGAATCAATGAACGTGGTTATCTTGGTTGCTGCAAGAGTAGGCAAACTACCTGTACTGTTTTAAAGAACATTAATTCCTGAGTGATACATTTTAGCTTTTTTATGAGTGGAAATATAATAAAACATAGTAATAACGCGACCACAATGAATACTAACTTTTGGCCAGTCAGCCCCTACCCAGCTCCCTGCTACGACTTCCGTCTTTTTCTCGTCGCCATTTTGGATTGAGAGTTGGCTCACTTGAAATAGGTAACGGTAGCTAGCAGCCTGGCCCTGACCACCAGTGTGAGTACAATAATAATTAGGGTACATTTAGTGGTCCCGGCAGTCATCAGTTTTGTGGAGTGTTTCACGAGCTGTGCACCACTCTGCCCTGCCTTTCATCCCTCCAGCTAGCTAGCAGCTAATACAGCAAAGCAGATGCCAGAGCTAACTAGCTAGCATAGTTAGCTATAGCTGTGGAGCTTGAGCATCAGCACCGGCTCTGAGGAGAGCGAACATCACCATCTATCTGCAGCCGGCCAACGTCTTTGTTAGCAATTTATGTAGTGAGGAAACCGGTGCAAAGCTAGTCCGCAAGACGTATCGCAAGGTGAGTAAAACGCATCGACTGATTCCGTCTGTTAAAAATGAAGAAATGAAATAACCATAAACCGGCTATGCAGCGCTAACTTTGGTGCTAGCTAAGTAATGTTATGTGATCAAGCATACATGAGCGGGCGACACAGCTAATTTGGCTAACACACTAACGCTAGCCCTACAACGCTAACAACATGTGCTGTGGAACTCCAGTTAACGTTACATAGCTAACATGCATACATGTGACGGACATACTAGAAGCAAGAAAGGTCTCCGATCTGCTCTGTTTCATTGTGTCTGCAGTAATTGAAGCTAACTGAAGCATGCTCACTGAACTAGTGCTGGGCCCCTAAAGAAATTGAAGTATTTGAACATAGAGAAAGTCACCCAGTCATAAGTTAAAATCCGTTGACAGTGATTTATTAGAAAGAGACGAGCGTTGAAAGGGCGTGTCGCCTGTTTTGTGAGGTCTCTTTTTAAAGTTGGTAAATATTGATTAAGCTATAGTGTTACGTTTTAAAACATAATTTGCTGGCTGTGATTTGGCTTTAAAATGACACTGAACAATACCTCTAACTAATAATCAGTTTCTTTGTTTTGCCAGGAGAGATGTATCAGCTTCCAGTGAATAACCTGACAAGAATTAGAAGAGCTAGGAAACAAGTGAAGAGAGCTCTCGGAGACATCGGCTTGGAGTACTGCAAGGAGGCAGCAGAGGTGAGTTTGTTTTAGTGAAACATGGCTAATTATGTAGCTTATAGATGATTTTTATTCTGTTTCAAAAGATAGTTGTAGGTGCCTATTTTAAATCTCGTGTCAATCTTAATTGTGTATTTAGAAAATGTTTTATCTCGAATGTAAAAGCAATTAAGACCAACTGAAATCCATGCTGAGTCAGCAACATTTGTTCAAAGCCAGCGTGGCTAATATTACAAAGTATTGTATGCAGTCACCCGTGCCTGGTTTTATGTAAACTTAAGCATTGTTTGGTATAACAATAATGTCTTTATCTTTTCAAATCCTTTTACAGGAGTTCAAAGAGTTTTGTCCTGATGAGCAGTATGTGAAGGCTAGTCTTTGCCTTGATATCTGTGCATGGGATCCATCTTACTCCAAAACCCAGGTGAATCTTACTTTTGTGTCCAATGGCCTTTCAAATGCACAAATCACTGTATTTATCTTAATGCCATTGTCCTGTTTCCCCCCCAATGTCTTTTAGGAATACAGATCAAAGCCATTTTGCTGCACAGAGTGCCCCTTTGCTTCCAAATACTACTCAGGCTACAAGAATCACTTCCGCAATGTACACAGGAAAATCTTTGAGAGTAAAATTCTGCTCAACTGTCCATACTGCACGTTCACTGCAAGCAAGAGAATTTTGGAGACTCATGTTAAAATATTCCACATACCCAGTTCAGCACGGCAGAATTATGGAAACTCGCAGGCAGCTGCACCGGGAAAGAAGGACAGAACGTTTCTCGATAGGGCCAAACAGGGAGAGGGTGTGGAGAAAGCAATGTACTTTTGCAAAAAATGCACGTTCCGGGACAGTCTCTACAACGTTGTGAGAAGGCACATCTACAGGGAACATTTTCGGCATATCGTCTCACCGTATTTTGCTATTATTCCTGAATCATCCGTCAAAAATGGGGCTAATCAGGTCAATGGCAACAACATCCTCTGTAAGCGCTGCCAGTTTTCCACTCGCAGCTATGAGGCTCTAGTGCAGCATGTTGTAGAGTACCACGAGCGCATTGGTGCTCAAGTGACCACCATGATTGGACATGCTAACATTATTGTCTCCAGGCCTCAATCCTCTGTAGTCGCTTCTCAGAAGGTTCCTCTGGTCATAAGGGGCCAAAAACTTAGAACTCACCCAACAGCACAACCAGTTATTGGCTATTTAAAGCCAGTGGCCCCCGTTGTTAAGAATCTCTCCTCCACAGCCAGTCAGATGCGCGGCACAGTTCCTAGCCACAGCTCAGTGGCTGAAAGTAATGCTGCCGGTGTCAACACGGCACAGACACAGAAGTGGAAGATATGTACAGTTTGCAATGAGCTTTTTCCTGAAAACCTCTACAATGCTCATTTTGAGAGTGCACACAAGGCAAAGAGAGTCTGGGCACTGGCCAAGTACATAATGAAAATCCACAACTTCACCAGCAAGTGTTTGCTTTGCAACCGCTATCTGCCCAGCGATACACTGCTTAACCACATGCTAATCCACGGGCTCACCTGTCCACAGTGCCACTCTGCTTTCCACAATGTAGAGAAAATCATCGAGCACGTTGCTCAGGCTCATCCTGATGATTTTGTTGGACCCCCTGGTGCCTCACCTCTAACCTTCGATCTCACCCTGAAACAAGATAAGTCCAGCAACGTACAGCTTGTTGTGCTCACGTTCAACATGAAAGAATCAGTCAATGGTAAAGGTCAGTCTGGCCCCGCTCAGAATAATATTCCACCTCAGGTCAAACTCACCGCTCCCAGAATCATTGAAAAGAAAAGTGAGCAACTTCCTAGAAGTTTCTCCATACTGCCGTACAAGAGTGAGGTTGGGAAGACTCTCTGTCCGCTGTGTTTCACCATCCTCAAAGGTCCCATCTCGGACGCTTTGGCCATGCACCTGAGGGAGCGGCACCAAGTGCTCCAAACGATGCATCCCGTTGAAAAAAAGATGACATACAAGTGCATTCATTGCCTAGGAGTGTACACGAGTAACATGGTTGCCTCCACAATCACGCTGCATCTTGTGCAGTGCAGGGCGGTTGGTAGGAACCAGGCAGGCCAAGGCTTCAAGTCCGCCTTGACTCTCAACTCATCGGGGGCCGGCTTCCTCAAGAGGCAGCCGCCGACGCAGGCCATGTCCAACCCCAAGAAGATGAAACTGAGCAAGGAATCAAAGATTTCCTCCACAACTGTTGGGAATCAGTCTGAATCTGATGGCCTCGCTCTGGATCCTAGAAGCTATGAGCACAAGACTTATGAGGCCAGGAAAAATTTCCTGACTTCCTACTTCAACCGACGACCATACCTCTCTCCTCAAGAAGAGGAGAAGCTCTCTGCCAGTCTGTGGCTCTGGAAATCTGACATTGCTAGTCACTTTGCAACCAAGCGAAAGGTGTGCGAGAGACTATGTGAGACCAAGAAGCTGTCCGTGCTGCTCGGCTTTGACATGCACGCTCTGAAGAAAGTTAAGCATGACTTGATCTTTGTGGAGAGCAAGCTCGGTGGCACCTCAACAGGGAGATCTGGAGGCCTCAAGTCTGGCACTCCAAGCACAGACCAAAACAAGCAGTGCGAGACACTAAACTGTACCTTAAAACTCAGTACATGCGCAGAGACAATTTCCATCGACTCAGACAGTGAACCAGAAACGGAGGATAGACCCACTGAGAATGGAGATGTTGACACAAACCAAGACGAGAATGTAAAATCTGAGGAGGCAGCAGACCTGAATGAAGAGACGGAACCTGAAGAGACGGAACCTGAAGAGACGGAACCTGAAGAGACGGAACCTGAAGAGACGGAACCTGAAGAGACGGAACCTGAAGAGACGGAACCTGAAGAGACGGAACCTGAAGAGACGGCCGACTCCTCTACAGAGAAGGAGAGTTCTTTGCAAGATGGGAACACGGATGCTTTGATCACTTCCTGTTAGTGTCCCTGCTTAGCAGTATGCCTTGGTTGAGAGGTGTATAAATTAAGATGAAGAAGAAGAAGAAAAAAAACAGTTCAAATCACAAATATTTGGTCAAATGGCATGGGTGACAAAAATGCTTCAATTGTAGATGTTGACCTTGTTACCAGTTCTGGATAGAATGAAGAAAAGGTTACATTATAGTGCATAAATATGGCATATGTAAGTGACATTGTATATATTTTAGCCTTTCTTCGTTAGTTTCTTCATACATTCTATTATTCACTTTTAATTGTCACAAGATTTCTGAAATCATTATGCCTACTTCCATGTGTTTTTTTTTTTCCTCTGACAAAGAGCTGTATCAAATTGTCATTTCACATTTAGAACATGTAGGATATGCTAACCGCTTATGTACATGTTTTAATAAATATGTTTGTTTAATAAAAACATTTCATTTTTTCCCCCTACTCCAATGACTCAATCTGTGACAATGCTCATTTGTTTAAGGTGTTTAATAAAAATTAACTAACGGGCATTTAAAAAAAACAAACAAAAAAAACAAAAAACAATATGTACAGAACATAGAGCATTAAAAGTTAAAGAGACGCAAAATAGATTCTTAAGAAGTTTTTCATGTAGTTGTTGATGCCTAATCTCAAAAGGAAAGTAATGGAAACAGCTTAAATCTCACTTTTTATTTATTCTATATCCTAACTATATAGGGTGTGGTCAGAGGGAGAGGAAATTATAGTAAAATATTTGGAAATGCATGCTTTTGTTAAAGTATATTTATTAAAACATTTTGTATTCACTATTAAACATTTAATTAATACTTAAAAAAAACGTGCAAATGCCCAAAATAAGCTTATTTTAAGTAAAACATTGCACGTTTTACAGTTAATTTTAAACTAAATATTAAAACATTTCTAGCTTTTCCAATCTGTTTTAGTATTAAATTGAAACTACGACGCAGGTTTGGACTCTGTCCATGTGAAATCTATCCAGAGCAAACGTACACGTTTTTCCAATGAATTCTGCTTTCAAGGGGCCCCTTAACTTCCGGTCTGTCGCAGCGTTGATTGGTGCAGTGGCTCCGAGGAGGCGGGACTTAAACCTGGTACAGTAGCGGAATTGGCCAACAGCCAGCGTGCATCACAGTCACAGGCCACACAGAGTCTGCAGCTGCAAAGATGTCCATATTGTGTCTGCATTCACAACTACAGCTTTTAGTAACTCCATAGCTGCACTCTGAAAGGGAAAACAACATTTTAGCAGTTGTAAGTATAACTGTTAACGACGATAACCTCATATACGTCCCATGGTTTTTAGCTTGTAGTCGGTTTTGGTGCGTTTTCCTATGGACTGTTTATAAACAGCTAGTTAGCATGAAGCTAAAACTGGTAGTATCTACGTGACTTGTAGCTGTCAGCGGTGACAGGTCGGGGTCTAACGTTAGACGCACTTCATATACATTATAATCATTTAACGCTACAATGCTGAGCTTGTAAGGCTGCTATTTAGCTAATGTGTGTTAGCTAGCGCTTATTTTACAATGTTTTTAAGGCAGTATTAGATTTCAGGTTGCCCTTTTTCTTGCCATTACAGCTGTCCATTAGTTTTCAGTTATGTCTGTACTGTAGTAGTACAAATCTATCAGCAGATGGCTGAAACGTGCAATGAACGTTTCAGTATCATTGCGTGCTGATGCTGTGGAGATATTTCATATAAATTAAACAGTATTGCCCAATAATGATAATTTGACAGACTTGATGTCTGTGATGGGTTACACTACTCAAGCAAGTTTTGGGAGTTTCACGTACACCAATGAATTGAAACTGGATGCTAACACACATACAAATGTTTTCTTACTGGAATTAAAGTAAGTTTTTTTTTTTTTTTCCTCATTCCTGTATGCTTCCAGGCTGCTGTTGCTTGCTGCAACATAAGGAGGAGAAGCTCTAATGTGGCAGCTGACAGACTGAGAGGAATGGCAGGAGGAAACATGGGGTGGTGTTAGACTGGTGTTGGAGGTTTCACTTTGTGGAAATAATGTCGAACATTAACAGAGAGTTGGTGGAGTTCTTTATAAGCTACAAGCTGTCTCAGAAGAACCACCCGGTCTCTGTGCTGAGGCTAGAGGATGCTGGTGGAAGGACGGAGGGAGACAAGGCCAACTCGGCTTCCAATAACGGCTCGCTGGTCAACAGCAGCAATGGGGCCGGCCAGCAGGGGATGTCGTCGCCTCCATGTGGTGACACGGAGGCTGTAAAGGCCGCTCTACAGGACTCGGCAAATGAGTTTGAACTGCTCTTCTCACAAGCGTTCAGTGACCTCTCCTTGCAGCTCGACATCACCCCTGACACGGCCTACCACAGCTTCAAGAGCGTGATGGACGAGGTGTTCAAGGACGGAGTCAACTGGGGCCGTGTCGTGGGCCTGTTTGCCTTCGGCGGTGTGCTGTGTGTGGAGTGCGTTGAGAAGGATATGAGCGAGCTGGTTTCCCGCATCGCAGACTGGATGACCATGTACCTGGACGAGCACATCAGTGCATGGATCCAGAGCCAGGGAGGATGGGTGAGTCGGAAGGGGGATGAGCTCAACATGCAGCTTCATTTAAGGCACTGGTACTGTGTCTAGGGACCCGATAGAGATCGGTAACCCCACGGGTTCTACACCGCGTCACACAACTTAAAAGACAAACCAACACGACTCACTGCCTGGAGGCCTTTAAGGTAGCTCTGAAAGGTTGTAGCTGTGATTTTCATTTTTGAGGACAGCAGCTGCAGTCAGCTTGTCTTATTTCCAAGACTCAGAGTAATGGCCTCAAACTACTCCTGCTGCATTGTGCACTTTTCTGCTGTTGATCCGTATACTCATGCTTTTAAAAGGCACTAAAGAGTTGATATTAATTAGTCCAACATAGGATTTTCAAAAATACATTTCACATTTACTTTTTTTGTGAACATTTTTAGTTTTTAGTTGTCTATATAGCATTCACAATACCTTCGATTACAAACCAAAAAATGTGTACGAGAAAAACTATAAAAAATAATAAAAAAATATATTAATATATATGTGCATACTGTATATACATACATACCTTAAAGTAATCTATTTAGAAAGACAAACATGCATTTGTGCAAAATGAGTATCTGATATATTGCAGTTTGTATGTAACCACTTTCATATTTGGAAAAAAAATAAGTATTCCTTTCATGTGGATGGTCAGAAACCTGAACATTGTCCAATAACAAAATGTCTTCTCCTTGTCTGAATACATTTGTTTGATTCCAGGACAGCTTTGCTGAGATTTTTGGGCGAGACGGCGCTGCAGAGGCGAGGCGATTTCAGGAGAGTCTGAGAAGATGGCTGCTAGTTGGAATGGCGCTGCTAATGGGAGTGCTAGTCGGTATGGTCATCGCCAAGAAACAGTGAAGGTGCTGCGTCTCCTTCACCGCCGCACACCCTGTGTAATGCTATGCCAACAAAAGTAAAACTAAATAGTTGATGTTTACAAAAAGCCCAGCCTGCTTGTGCACTGACAGAATGTGGGTTGGCTAAAGCAGTTTGTGGGAGCATCCATAATTATGTAGCTTGGTGAGTTCTTACACTCCTCACCCCGCTTTGTCATGTGTCTTTTTTCTTCTTTTTTTTTGGACACACAGCAGATTTTTCAGTTGTTAAAGGGTGTTATTCTCCTGACTGAAAGTGCTTTAAATGAACCTGATAAGCTAAGAGACAGTGGAACAGTTATCCAAGGACCAATTTTTATTACTTACGAACTGACTGACAGAATATAAGTTATACTTCCTTTTCACTGTGTAATGCTCAGCTCCTTTTGTTGGCTGTACTGGAGTTTTAGGCATGCTTCAAAAAAATAAATATATTTATGTTTTTCTTGTGTCTTGTGTTTTATAGATTCAGCCAGTGTCAACATACACAAACATCTACAGTGTATTGTCAAGCTAAACCCTAAGTCCAACAAACGTATATCCCCATAGGACTCCCATAGCTCTGTAACGTGTTCCTGTTAAGATGTCTTATTTATTACATAACTTAACGCAGTAGCCTGATTCCAGACCTCTGAATCGCTGCTTGCATCTCAGATTTATTCTGCGATTCAAGTGAAACAAAAAAACAAAATTGTGTCTTTTTTCATGACCAAAGGATACAGGTTTATATGTAATAAAAATAATTCCGAGAGCAGATGCAATGTTTTGAATCCAATGCATAGTGGAGATTGTATAAAAAAAGGGATGAAAAGAGTAATGCCTGCAAACTGACTCCAAACCAGAAATTAAACATCAATGAATACATTGAAAATATATTGAGTATAGCAAAACATCTTGTTTATATCAAAAATGCCCCAAATATTAACATGAAAGGATACATCAAAATATATTACATGAGGGAATGCAGGAAACGCGTCTTTAACCAGATAAACTCAACTCGTATTCTTTCTTTTAAACGAACATGTATGTCGAGACAAAAGAAGCTTTTCCCAAAATATGTCCAAATGTACAGACTCAGTTTTATTTCATATTCTTGATTCAATCCTCCTGGTGTCATATGGAGCCTCCCTCAATTCATATTCATCTCTGTGCCATCATAATGTGCACCAGCTATTTACATGACAATATGAGCTGCACGCACGCATACATGTGTGTTATCTCTTAACTGCAGTGTGTAGAGTTTTACATCCTGTCAGTTGGAGAAAAACTGGAGCTGCGGTGTTGTCTTCTCACCTCTAGGGGGTGCACGTGTACCACATGTTTCAAACGGAGCGTGTCGGACATCAGGCTGTGGTACTTCCATTTAGCTCCAATTTATTTCTGGCTGTAGCTAAAACCGTGTAGTGTTGACACGTGTTCTGTTAGTCAGAAAAGCATCCGTCTTCTCCTTCAGGAAAGCTGTTGTTTGAAACCACACACAATCAAAACATGAATTTGACTGAGGATGGTTAGAATATCTTATTTCATAGAGTCTCCCAGAGTGTCAAAGATAAAAAAAACAACTCATTATCAAAACTCTTGCTCCCCTGTTATAACAGTTTCTAATATACAACTAAGGCCGTTGTACAGCTCTGCAGGATGAAGCAGGCTGAATGGGAAAAGACAAACACCGAAGGAGCAAAAGAGAGAGAACCAACGGATGGCCTTGTGAGTGAACTTCAGCAGGCCTGTGGTTGCTAATCTATCCCCGTCATTTGTTGCCATTTCCCTCAGAGCAGAGCTGGCGGCCACAGCTCTAGATAAACAGCAGACGGAGACAGTCAATTTAATGACTTCTTTTTTTAGGACCTTATTACTTGTCTTGTGATTGTTTTGCTAATTCTGATCGTTCTTGAGGAGGGATGTGTATTTTGAAGGTTTCTCTGCTTTAATGTGATTTAGGGTAAATGTTGTAAACTGAAACCCCCTTGTCTCACCCTGTTACCTCACATGCAGGGCATCAATAGGTTCAATTCCCATCATCAAGATCCTAGGGGAATCAGGGGAGTTCATAACAGCAATGGTTGACTGCAAATGGAATTAAGCCGCACCAAGAAGTAAATATCACCTATTTTGATAGTTTTGTTCTGCTCAGGTGTTTGATAAGCGACTTGGCAAAATGCTTATAATCAATATGTGCCTAAAAGTTGGTTTATCACCAAAATACTGATAGCAGTGACTGTGTGTGTGTGTGTGTGTGTGTGTGTGTGTGTGTGTGTGTCAGTGTCATGAGTGCGTGGCACGCCCAGATGGCTGCATCCGGTCTTATTTCTCCCTGCAGTGAAGCGTGTATAAATCAGCTGTGAAAACACACTCAGCGATGTGTGTGATCATTTTTTTTTGTCTCAAGGGAAGCGTTCATTTTGTGCCCTCAGATTATGAAACCTGACTGGGTTCATTTGACCAAAGCATGACACATTGATTTTGAAATGATGGAGCAACAAAGAGTTCATCTATGTTTTCTTTTAAGTTTGTCTTCCCACTAAAACCAATCAAGATTTTCTTTTCAAATGAATCCACCTATACAGCAGTCCTTCTTGTGCCTTCAGATGACACCAAAGATGTATTTGAACTCTCTCTGGTGTCATAATACCCAAAGTGTACATGGTGCCCCTCACTGACTAACTGACAGGGAGTGTGAGCGTGGCGGTGCCAGCAGCAGGTGGATGGTTTTGGTGGTCTGTGGCCTCAGTGATAACCTATCAGTCATCTCCCAGTAGTGAGCGAGCAACCCCAGCCCTGCTGCGCTGCATAGAGAAATACGCTGCACACATACATACAATGCCATTACTGAGGAAATGGCCTTGTTTAGAGGAATATTACAACATATTGAACGTGTCTCTTTCCTCTTTCTTCAGTTGTCTTTTCCAGCAAAATCCTGTTGGAAGAGTTTCCCCTGCATACATAGTCCAATCGAATCAGTTACTTAGACAAGGTCCCAGTTTGATCAGTATGAAACCGTTATCTCTGGCTCTTTGAGAGGGATTGCCACAAACAATCACAGTAGAAAATGACATGTCTGCTCTATACAACTAAAGGACTGCTGACATCTGCGTTATAACGAAAGACATATTCTGAGAAAGTCCGTTTTGAGTAATGTACAGTGGTGGAAATTACTGAAGTACTTCAGTATGGGTACTTCCATTTTACTGCTACTTTATACTTCTGCTCTGCTACATTTTTACAATATAGATATTGAATTATTTACTCCACACTATTAGATATATTTTCAGCTTATTGTTGCAGATTAAACCACCCAACAGTACATCAAGTTCCAGCTCCAACTTTTAAATGTCTTTACATGACTAATAATCAACCTTTAAACATGGGGCCATTCTCCTCCATATATATTCTAACATTTGATGCTTTGAGTGTGTTTTGATGGGAATACTAAATTACGGTTTTGATAACTTTTGACCTGGTGGTAAACATCGTGGTGGTATTGCGAAGTTTACTGAAGTACAGGATCTGAATACTTGGCACTTGGGATATTAGGGACTTTAGTCTAGATGCTTTGAGTCTTCCTCTTTCTCTTTGGCCTCTTTAGGAACACATTAACCGCATGTGAGGAGCTGTGATGTCATGAAACGTATATCTTAACTTATCATTACTAAAGTATCTGTAGCCTCTGATCTTTACAAGCATGAGAGTGGAAATATTACTCATGAAAAAAATCCCCCCGTCATGCGCAAACAAATGGTGATGAGTAATAATAACAAATGGGCCTACAAACATGACCTTGTGTGCGTGTTTTGAACCCAGTTGCAGCGCTGGTCTAAATATAAAACTCAGGCGTAAGTGTTGCACTTTAGTTAAATGTTTGCCACTTCTGCAGAATGGAGAATTTGCATGTAACCGCTATGTACACACTCTGTCAAAGTGGAACGCTGTCTGCACAATGACACTATTATACCTGAGCAGTTGAGCACAATGACCGCACGCAGGAGGCTCTACTGCGGTCAGCTCACTGCGCTGAACGGATGAACTGGGAATTCAAATGACATCAAAAACAAAAGCCGTCATAAATTCTGTCAGACATTTATTTTTTATTATTTCCTCTGTAGATTTTCGATATGGGCATATTTTTCAAATACAAAACAGACTGTAACAAAACCAACGCACAATTTCACATTATGATTAATGAAGAAGAGACTTTGTGTTTATGTTCAGAGCTGAAACACTTCCCTCATCAGTGTGTTCACGTGTGCAGCAACCTCAGTGGTGAGTGATTTTTATCTGACTTCAAACATAACCTACGTGATCAGATAACATCTATTAAAATACAGTGGAAATAAACAGAACATTTAAGTCGTCCAATGTACAAACGCATATGTACAAATTCACACAAATAACTGGCAAGCAAGCGCGCTGTTGATTCCTAAATAGACACCACTTTCTGGTGCCTTTTTTTTCACACCAGTGTGGGCATCATGCCAGTGTTGAGGTGGTGTGCGTATTGTAAGGAGGCGGAGGGATGCAGGGGTGATGGCGATTGTATGAGGTGCGGGGTGTGGCTGTAGGTGAGGAGAGTCCCGGGGCCCATGGAGAAGGGCCCGCAGTTGTCGTCCATGGAGGTCGGCTGAGTCATATCCAAGTACGGCTCAAACATGGCGACCTTCTTGCTCTTCTTGTTCTTGTTGGACACTTTTCTGTTGCGCGTTTGAATGCTGTCCTTCTTCATGGTGAGGGGCCGGTTGACCTGGGAACGAGAACGAAATCATGAGTTTCTAATTTACGAGCAGATTCACGTGTGTATTTATTTAAAAAATAACATAAATGTGAGTTTTAAATGACCTGACTCACATTGTGCAGTTTGAAGTAGAGTCCGCAGGCGTTGCACACGGGCTCTCCGTTGGCGTTGCGTCTCCACAGTGTTGTTGTGCTAGTGTGACAGTTGGCGCACAGTGTGCCTGCCCGCTTGCTGACAATCTGAAACACAGAAAATAGAAAATATGGGTTTTTAAACTGCTTCGGCCAGGATTTAGTATTTGTCGAATATTTCGTAATATTGTGTTTGTCCAGAAAGGTGCGTTGGCGTGCGTCTCAGTGGGTCCTACCAGTCTCTTCTTGGGCCGGATGAGCGGTCTGTTTTGGCCGTTCATCTTGTGGTAGAGTCCACAGGCGTTACACAGGTAGTGGCCTGTACCGTCCCGACGCCACAGAGGGGTCGCCGTGGCTCCACAGTTAACACACTCTCTGGCCTCTGTTCCAAATCAAAAGTTAATGCTGCATTATTTAGTATATCAATGGGTTTTATCACAAAATGCTACATGTATATTTAAGAGACAGATCCTCCTTGAAATTAATCAGGCAATAAATGGAAACATTCTGTCTTCATGTCCAAAGGTCCTCCACTGACTGATACCGTAAAGAGGGATTAGCCCAGTTTTGTAACATTGTATGTTCAAATGTTCATTTTTCTGAGCACTTTAAAGACTTTAAGGACTCCCCATGTTTATAAGCTATGCTTAAAAATTGAGAATGAAAGCAAATGGACCAACTGGACAGCTCCATCTACTGAGGAAGATTATGTATTATGATTGAAGCCACTAAATGGACCACATGATGAGATTGTTTAGTCAACTGCCATATCGCAGGTTGAGAGTGAAGTTTCAATCCTAAACATCTTTATTTTTAGAATATAAACTGATCTGAAGTCAGAGGAAAGGACAACTCTTCTCACCTGGAGTGGATATCCTCATCTTATTGCGGCCTTTAGGGGAGTATGAGGGGCTCATCCATGTTCCAGGGCTAGAGTAGAGGGCAGCAGAGTTGTACTCTTGTTGACTTGTCATGTACGAGCTGTAGGGGCTCAGCAGGTGTGGGTGGCAGTGTGACGATGCAGAGTACACACTCCCAGTAGCAGGAGTCAGATTCAGGAAACTGCTGCTGGCCCCCGACCCCCCCAGCGGGCTCAGGCGCTCGGCCTTCAGGGCCTCCTGAAGCCGGGGGCTCTCCCTGCCCTCTCTGCTCGGAGACAGGTATCCGTCTCTGGCGCTGGAGAAGGAGGGGGTGACGCAGGGGGTGTAGAGGGAGGTCGGGGTGTGCGAGTGCAGCGGGGTCTTGGCGAGGCTGCTGCTCCAGGTGGAGGCCGGGTGGTTGTAGGCCGACCCGTCCAGGAGCTGGAGGTTGCTCAGGAGGCTGGGTGAGGTGAACACCTGTCGAACTTTAGGAAAGCGGGACAGAATAGATTAAAGTCAGATCATGATTTTGGGGGTAGAGGAGAAGATCTGATCTGATGGGCGACAGTGGGTGGGGAGCACTGACCCGAGCTGTGTCTGTAGGTGGGTGGCACTCGGCTGTGGCTTGGGTTGGAGAAGAAGGAGGGCAGGCCGGCGTAGTCTGTGTCCTGGCTGGAGAAGAAGGCCTCCCCGTCTTCTCCTGGAGGCAGAAGGCCGGGCTCAGAGGAGAAACTGGCCAGAGGATCTGAGCTGAGCAGAGCTGGAGACACCCAGTGGGACTGCTCTGACGGATCCTCCATGCTGACAGATCACACCTCAACCTGCAGCACGACCACAGTATTCATGTGAGAAATCTACAGCGCTTTGAGACTTCTACAAATATGCAACCTGTCAGGATTTTTTTTTTTCAAAAGCTGAAATGAGATTTTTTGTCCATTTTGCCACAATAACTGTCTGATTTACTGTTTTGATTTAGGCTACATTATCACCACGCTCTTCACTTCAAATCTACCAATGCAACTTGAAGTTATCAGGGACACGATCGCTCGACAGCAGGCTTCTTCAAACTTCCTTTTCTAGGATCCTCATTTGACTGTGGCTGAAAGTAAAACTATTAATATCTATGTCTATAAATGTAATGATGCAGCCAGTGACCAAACGGTTACTCAGTGGCCTTTCTACAATAGGTGTGCCAGTTAGACGAATGCAAAGGACATGCCCTCAGGGACGCCCTACACAGGGTGGACAAACAGCACAACCCTCAAACCACAAAAAAAAAAAGTTGTTTTCTAAGTGAAATTATGAGCAGCAACCCCTGTCACACTGCTTAAAAGATTATGTGACTTTTTCACAACAGCCGTCTCAATTTGTGAGGGATGTTCTTATTTGGTAATTGTGCCGTGGTGGTGAAAAACTCATGATACAATTCAGTCATAGAGAGTACACGACCATTCGCTGCCCTTAAAATATATTTAAAAGAAGACTGCTTTGATGAAACTGAAAAAAAGAATGAAAGTGCAGGATGTCAAATCAATATTATGGGGGCTGCAAAAAACACACAAGAAAAACTCTTGCTCCATATCTTTAGAGGGAAGAGAAGAGGCTGATAAGTGTCTGATAAAGTCTGAGAAAATCTGATAGACAGCATTATTATGACGCTAAATTTATCCAGCTCCACCATTACAACACGGCCATAATCTCATCTGATTCATAGAAATCTGTTTGACTAGAAGTGTGAACTGGTAGAACAGATATCCACACACTTGAATCTATGCAGAGAACACTATATTTTTAGCTTTCGGGTTTTAACGGACCTTCATCTAAGCATACTAGAAGTGTGAGAAGTGTAAGAACATGGCAGAGTGAGACAGCATATTTGTGGAGGCACCATCGGATTTTAGATTGTAGGAATCCAGCGACGAAAACAGGCGGCAAGAATGGCATTTAGATCATCACATTAGATTGAATCATTTTAAACTAAACCAGCATTCCACGCCAGAACATGGTTAATTAACTTGAGGTTTAATTATCATCCTGACTGAAAAGATAAATGGTTATTTATATGAGATATTAAATTCGATATAACTGACTTTAACCCCAAGTGACCTAAAAGCATGACTGATCCAAATTTATTTTATCACTACGTTACACAGACCCATGGCAATATATTGAAGGAAGAACCTCTAATACAAGTAATAAATAATAATAATAACAATATGAAGAAAAGCTAGAAGTATGGAGTAAGAACTCCATCACCCCAAAGCAAAGTCCTCACATCTCTACAAGTCAAGCAATAAATGGCCTGAGGTAACACCTCACCAAGGAAAGTTTCAAATGCACAACTGTGGACAGATATTCGTTACTCAATCAACTGGATTCTATCCCGGAGTCTACTGAAGAACAGGACCAAGAGGAGACAAAGAGCCGAGGGGTCACCTACCTGAGTGGATGTGACAGATGAGCGCAGTGAGAGGTAAAGGACTCGGGGCTTTTATGTATGGAGCCAGTTGGACTGTCTAGCTCACTATTATACTGCTGGCTACAAGAACAACTGCTCCTACCAGCAGCAAAGTTTAGGGCTAAGAGACAGTCCGTGGGAGGGGTTGGGGACAACTTTTTGGAAGACACACCTCTTTGGTCCAGAGAGAAAAAAAACAAAAACTTGTGAGGGCAGACATAACATATTTACAACTCTCAAAGTAAAATCATTTCAAACTGTAATTCATCCAATAATGCGAAGGTGTTGGCTTTATATCTTCCTCTGCTCTTCCTTTATGGCTGTGTGTGCTGGTAGTGTACTGATAACATGTTTGTATCTGATGATTTCCACACTGAAAGCACCCATGGCCATTATCAAACAATTAGGTGTTGCTGATAGATAGAAACATCTGACTGGGTTTATATTTCTAAGATTTCATGTTTGCACAGATATGCACACATCACTGTAAAATAGAGGACGGCATGCAGCTCTTCCAGGTGGAGCAGTGAGCGTGCAGGGCGAGTGCCTTTTCGTCTGTTGATGAAATGTGCATACAGCCCCCGATAAGACCGGGCCCACATGGAAAAGAGCCGTCCGACATTTGAACAAAGCAAATTTAAAATGCAAAGACTCAATTTCTTTGTGGTCCAGCAAAGCTTAGAGTGGAACACAGTAATGCAAATCGGGAGAGGAGCTGCAATCATGGGGGAGAGATATGGTCCGGACGCGGCCTGGCTGCGCACAAGCCCGACACTGTCCCGGCCATTTGGTAGTCAAAGCAGCTCCTCAACTTTCCTCTCTCTTTGTTCATTTACAGTTTTCAGGGAAATCAGGGGAGAAAAACAGTTGGGAAGAATTGAGGCCTTTTAAAAATTCCTATTCTTTTTTCCGCCACCCAAAGAACCTGCAGCAGTTAAATTAATATGATATCCTCATGATGTAGGTGTGCAGGTGAAGTGCATTAGTTAGGTCAGATGTAAATCAATATAGGTAACTGTGGCATTCTAAATTGTAATTTGATCACCTATTTCCCTCAACTTTTCACTCTCTTTCGACAGTTACTTGGCATGAAAGTCTCCTGCTGCGCTGACAGAGACAAACCGCAGAACACAGTAAAGATCAGCAAGGGTTCAACTCAACTCCACAGAACTTTTTGACGAGACAGGGATGAGGAAATACAGAGAGGTATATGGAAATATCCTCTTCATCTGGGCACGTAACCAGGTGTGGAAGTAGTCCACTGATGACCACTGACAACATCAGCTTAGGTTTCAAAATGTAGGCTCCCTTGTGACAAAATCCCCATGTGTGCTCATATGATCATGTCATTTTTGAGGTCATGAGGTTATCATGCTATAGAATTATGACATTTAGTTTATTTGTAAGACGTGGCAAATAGTATAATTGACTGATTAACGATTTTTCTAACTAAACCTAAAATAATTCCTATTCCTGAAATTGTGGGTACAGCTCTGTTCTTCACCTCCTTTGTGAGCAATTTATTATTATTATATTCAATTTTTATTCCCACTGAGGAGGGCATAGAGCACTGAACGTTAAAATCGAACAGGGTGAAGAATATTTTTTATCAACTCTGAGTGATGTATTTACTGCATTAATGAAAGGAGGCTGCTGTGGTGCAGTTCTTTATAATTATATTTGAGGCATTTACAGATACTCCTAATACTGTTTATGTTTCAGGCTGGTTTATGGATGCACGGCTTGTTGTTGGCGCTGCTGCCTCAGCAAGAAGGCCCTGGGTTGAAAGTTACAGGTAAAGGGAATTGAAAGCTCAAAGCTGCCTGTACGTGTGAGCTGTGCCCTTCCTCTCGCCCAGTGCATGCTGGGTAGGCTCCAGCTGAACAGGATACTGAAAATATATGGATAGATGATTGCTGATGCTAATTTCTTGTGTCATCTACTTAACTCTATCCCCTATTTTTCCCCTGCTTGCTTTTACGCATGTGTCTCGCTGCTGAGACAGTATCATTAAAACGGAGTGAGCTTGAAAAGAGCACACTGTGTCTGTGTGAATGAGAGTGACATTACATGAGAGAAAGAGTGAAGCGAGGTCTCTTGAGGCGGCGCGGACAGCTGGGCAGGGATGTGGCTGCTGCTGCTGTGTGAGCGGGCTGCTCTGCTCTGATAAGAGGTTATCAAGAAGAAAAGGAGGAGGCCAGGAATTACGGGCCCGCACCACTCACACAGACAGAGGACATTGCAGCATGTTTGTGGTCGTGTCATGTAACTCATAAACCTGCATACCCACATGCATAGACATAGACAGACACACACACACACACACACACACACACACACACACACACAACATGCCCGCTCTGTTGACGGTATCTCGACAGAAGCAGTTTGAGCTGACACCGGAGCATCTTGTCGGACAGTTTGGAGGTTGTAGTCGGGTGATGGATGGTGTTGTGTGTCACCAGTGGACTTTGGGGACAGCTTTCTAATTCCCAAGAAACAGGCTTCTGTGTAGGCGGTGGTCTTATCTCTGCCACGCAGGGCTGCAGCGACATACCCAGGAGAGCGCTCTCTCTCTCTCTCTCTCTCTCACACACACACACACACACACACACACTGTTCTCTCCTTCATTCTTCAGTTGTTGCCCCCTTTATCTCATCAGTTACTCACATTTTTAGTCAACAAATAACTAACATTCATGTGGTTTATCTTTCACGTGGTGTTTCGGGCAGTGTGTTGTGAGTGTGTGTGTGTCTCCTGCAATGACTAATAAAGTTGGGTTGGTTGAGTGGCCCTCTGGTGCCGCTCACTGAGATGTCATTGCTTTTTATATTGCTGATTTTGTGTAATCTCAGTGTTCTGCTGCACCTCTGACGGTCTACAGGACACCGATATGCAAAAAGCACTTAAGCATTACCTCAATGTATGTTACTGCAAGTACAAGTACAGTTTTGTTTTACTTTGGTATTTTGATAATTCCTTTTTCTTGTTGAACTGGAGGGTTTTGCTTTCATTTTCCATACTTTTTTCACCCATGTTATGTTATGTATAATCTATGTATTTCTTTATGTCCATGTCTGATAGTCAATAGTAATCTACTTTATGGCATTATTCTAACCTCCTAACATCCCGTTTTTTCCCTTTTATTTTCCATTAAGTAGCTTTTAGGTTGTTAAAGTCATCTAATTCCACTTTGTCTGGCAGTATCATATACGGTATACTACTGTATTAGCTTGTTTCAACGCTTTGTTGAAGCTTTATGATGTTTAGTGAAACATCCAAACCGAAGATAACAGGTTTTTCATTTATTTTTATTTTATCAGGAAGTCTGACTGAGATCCAGAATCTGTTTTACTAGAGAGGCCTGACCAAAGTAGCAGCCGTACAAAATCACAGCACATTAAATTTCAACATGTTGTATACAATTCAACAATTAATTACATAAAATTGAGGATGGGTTTGTATTACTATAGGATTTTTTGTGGTATATGTAATTGTTAAAAATATAGAAGTTGTATTGTGATATGTGTGTGTGCTGCAACACTAAAGATTTTAAAGAAAGTTCAATGTATTACAGATTAATTGAAACGTTACATATTGAGAGGAAAAGCTGAAAAAAATCACAATGCAAAATGTGAGTAAATTTGAACGTGTTTCCTTCTTCTATGATGGCTTTTCTGTCCTTTTACTTCAAATATTGTACATTTTCTAAGGATTAAATAAAGAAGCTTCACATTCAGTTGAAAAAGAATGAATCACTTAAAATATTATACTGTAGATAACACCACCTCCACGGCTCCAACAGAAAGGAAATCCTGTAAGAAAGGTGAATCACCTGAGGCCTATACTGCCCCCTAGTGGCACATAAACAAATAATCCAATATACTCTACAGTAGATTACAGTAATTGACTTTTATTTAAAAGTGACTGTTTTACAGTGACGTTAAATAAATGAAGCAGATGCTGCCCATTTTCTTCTGAATCAAGTAGCTTTATTGAATAAATTGAATAAAACACAACTGCCTGTCTTAAAATATTTAGCAACAGTCTCAGGTGAAAGTATTAAATTAAGATATTTTTTGTGTTTTAATTTCTGCAGAACAATATACATCGCAAAACAGAAACAAACTAAAATAGATAAGCACAGGGAACATCTATCTTTGTGTTTTAGAATTATAGGAGTGTTGTGTTTTGTTTTCAACCTATTTTTATCTTTTATTCTGAAATCAGCTGTACCTTTGGGTCGTGACTCAGACAGGACAGAGGTCAGCTGTGTGCCAACACGCATTGTTTTATGGTGCCTTCGAGGGCTGTAGGAAATACTGAATTACATACATAACATCAACAATAAAGCAAAGTGACACCTGTGGAGTTCAGGTACTTTCAACTCTGGAATATTATAAGTATTAGCCACTAAAAGGCTACTTTGGCTACATGAACATTTTCAATTAAAAGTACATTACGTACGAGTACGAGGTCACAAAACACAGGTTTAGTACCTACATCCTACAGACAATGACATATCGTGGCTGTTTAATTTAATTTGATGCAAATATTTTTAGACTCCTTTTATGCTTTTATGCCACCAGTGTAGGGTTCACTATTTCCCAGCCAGAATTAGATTCCTGCCATTGTAGAGAGGGCTTTGAAACACCCTATGGACTATTTATTTTACGTAAAAATGTAGTTAAAAGTAGTAGTTAGACAGACTGAATCAAAAATAACCTGACTTAGATTCCTAACATCTTTCTAACACCCACTTTGCTACTGAGACACACCTCAAATTTACAAGACAGCCAAAATTCCGAGGAGCACTTGAAGGCAGCAGCAGCTGAAGCTCCGGTAGAAACAAACCCGAACAGACGTGACCATGAACGACAGAAGTCCGGTTACACTGAAGATAATCCTCATAGGAAGCTCCGGGTAAACATCGACTATCTTGTTTTAAAATCTCATTATCACTCCTGTTGTACAGTTTTGATTTGCTGCTCCTACGACAGTTGTTTCACTTTCATTTACTCTGTAATGTAATGTAAAACTGAGGTGTAAAGCCTAATATATATTAGTTATTTTTTTATTAGTTATTTACCAGTGCCATGAGAATAAAAGATGAAAAGTAGCCTAAATGTCTGCGGAAGGAACGTGAGATTTTGAGTGTGTTCTACCTTTAATGATCTTAATGCACGTGTGTTTGCACAGGGTGGGAAAATCCTCCTTCATGAACAGATACGTGAATCACCGGTTCACCAACATGTACCGGGCCACGGTAGGGACCGACTTCCTCTCCAAAACGCTCCAGATAGATGAGGACACAGTCAACCTTCAGGTAGCATCTCTGTGCACCTGCAACCACACCTCCACGTGGGAACAAGTAGTAATCTGTTGATAAAATGAGTGTTAAATGTTCCCTCAGCTCTGGGACACTGCGGGCACGGAGAGGTTCCAGTCTCTGGGTACACCTCTGTACAGAGGAGCGCACTGCTGCATGCTGGTGTTTGATGTCACATCCACGACTAGTTTCTCTGCCCTGGAGCAGTGGAGGAAGGAGTTCCTGATCCAGGGCGAGCCTCAGGACCCGCAACACTTCCCCTTCATCGTGCTGGGCAACAAGACTGACCTGAGCAACCGGGAGGTAGCAAAGATACGTGAAATAGTGAAAATAAACTAGGGGGTCAACAGGTGTCTTTCGAAAGTTTATACGAGTAACAGTATTCTAGAAAATACATAAACCATACACTCTTTCGTGGCATTGGATTATCAATCAAACAGGTATATTTCTGACAGATTAATTGGTTAATTGAGAAAATTGTTGGCAGATTGATCAATAACAAAATTAATTGTCACAACCAATGTAATATCCAGGTAATCATTTTAAAAATAAATAAATAACTTCTTTATAACAGTTCCATTACAAACAGCTTTCACTGTTCATGTAACAGTGTAATATTTGGCTTTTAGAATGTAATTAAAATTGTACATGAGGGGATTAATTACTTTCCACTGCGTTCACTTTGAAGGAAACCTATTGTTTACATCCTTATAATAAATATTGCTTGCACTGTGCCTCGGTCCCTGCAGGTGTCTGTCAATAAGGCCCTGTTGTGGTGTGAGGAGATAAGAGCAGAGTACTTTGAGGGAAGCGCCAAAGAGGACCTGGATGTGGAGAAGCCGTTCCTGAGAGCCGCTCAGAGCGGCTTACAACAGGTGATTCAAGCACTTTAAAAAACAAAAATCTTTGTGGTGGAAAAAAAAGGAGAAAAGATGCAGCATCTCTTTTATGTTTAACATGTTTATTTTTTGATGATAAAAGATACATTACTCCCTACAGTACAAAAAACACACATTGGAAAATACAGGACATTTCCAGATAACCTGCGAACAGCCGAGAGAAACTCGCAACACCTGTGAGTGCTGAGAGCAGCACTCGTCCCAGCGTGGGAGGGAAAGTTCAGAGAGACCTCGGCACTGCTGATGATGACCTATCTAACGAGGGTGCAAAAATAGTGACCCAGCAAAGGTACTGTGGAAGGAAAGGACACAATTGTATACCACATGGAGAGAGAGAGAGGAACAAACTCGTTAAATGTTTTTTTTTTTTTTTTTTTGGGAGAACCTTCAGCTTATGGTCTAACTTAAGGCATCACTACTAAAATACACTGCTTTTGCATGCATGTCTAGTTTTTGTTCAACAGACACACTGACACACACAAAAATGATGAATGCATATGAAGAGAAAGTTAATTCCTAGTAAGAAAATTGGGAGAAACCCAACAAACGGGGGAAACCAAAGGTGCCAGCCGAAGAAAAAGGCGGCTGAGCGAAAACCTTGGCTCTTAATCTTCCTGGCCGTTACCATAACAAAGCGAATCCGCCCGTACAAAGTAGATATACACTCACGTCCGGTCAGAAACCACCTCCCTGTACAACTTCTTATACCGTAATGAAGCTAGCAGTGATTCAGACTCCTACAGTGAATCAGCTGGACAGAAGCAAATTAGAGCCATCGGGGAGACTATATATATATTTATATATATATATATATATTTGTTTCTTTTATAAGTAAAGACACAAAAGGCAATCAAGAGATGACCAACATGTAAAAACAGTTTGTTACAGGTAATTATATAAAAGGCCAAGATGTTGTTTTTGTTTGTTTTATTCTTGCTCTATGAACGAACTAATTTACAAGTGAGTACACTCCGGCTATGTAAGCTTTCTTCCCCAAAACATCCCCATAGAAAGACATACGGGTTAACACATCACAGTAAGCTGCACACCATCTGTAGTCTGAAATACAGAGCCGTGGGAGGAAAACAAAAATTAAAATTTATTAAATTGGATTCACATACATCAATAGGATAGGGGGAAAATATGTCGACGAATATAATTTGCCATTCTAAAAAAATTAAAGAGGTGAGACGCCACATTCATGAGCATAACAAGCGTAGGACAACTGATCGGGATATTTGGGGGGGGGGGGGAAGGTAGGACAAGATCTGATGTTTTCCTCATACCCCGTGAAACTCCATGTTTGGCAAACAAAGCAACACAAGCATTGAGTAGTAAACAAAGTAAAAACTCTTCCACTTCAGTCCTATAACTTCTGTGGGTTCTACTCGGAACAAATACAAAAGTCTTTCTCTCTCTCGTGACCATCTGCGAACAAGAACATACAACCAACTGAATGAAGATTTTTAAAAATAGAGTGGCAACCGCAACACAGCCACCGATCTTCCCACCAACACAAACTATGGGGATGAACAACTGTTAAAAAAAGTGATGTTTTTGTTGTTTTTTTTTTAAAATGCACACAACATACACACAGGAAAAGAAAGAAAGAAAAACAAAAAAGCTTAAAAAATACAAAAATAAACTACACAAAAGATCTTCTGCGTCAATGCTTGCTAATTTTTTTGGGAAGATTTTTGTGTGTGTGTGTGTTGCAAGTCTCAGTCCTAGCAAAGTCTGTCTGTCATTCATTCTCTACAAATCTCTTCGTCCTTTTTTCATTTTTTGTCCACTTCGAAGTGTCGGCCACCAGTCCTCATCTTGGGGGGTAAAAAGCGCACAGTGATGACATTTACAGGAGACTGGAGTCCAGCACGATGAATACAGACTTGGTTCTCGATGAAGCAAATTAGTTTTGACCAAAAAAAAGAAAAAAAAAAAAGAAAAGAATGATGTCCTCCGTCGTTGAGGACAAGTGCTTTATTTGTATCCATACCGATTTTTTCCTCTCATCTAAAACTCATGCCTCCACAGCTCTTTTTTCCCCAACACTGTACATCATTTCGTGTAGTCTCTCTCTACATCCCCCCAGGATTCACAAAACAAAAAGACAAAAACAAAAGGTAACAAATGAGCTCAGCCTGGCTCCCAATTTGTGAAAGATGTAAATTATTCTCTATGCTGCTTAACTACTGAAACAAGCCAAAAATAGATGTTAAAACGATGGGAGGGGATGTGACTGAAAAAGATAATGTGCTTCTAAGTTTGTGTTGCTCTAAAAATAGTACAACCAACAGAACGAGGAGGAAGGAGGGTTTTTATCTACAGAAACATCTCTCAGATTGACTTTCATCTCGGCTTCATATGCTTGTTCTGCCTCCATTGCCGTCTTGATCTGAGACTTGAGGGTGGAGGATGAGATTAGGATGAGGATGGGGGGTGAAGGTCAGTCTTCCTGATTAAAAAAAAAAAAAAAAAAGGACAGCGAGTGGAAAAAGGACAAAAGACTGGGTGGGGTCTCTGGGCAACCTCACTGGTCCGTCCTTGCTTTCTTTGGACCAGTAGCCTTACTGCAAGAGCACACATAAAACCAGAATAAGTATTGCATGTTTAATGTCGAGCCTGTGTGAACAGTACGAAATGTAGACGCTGTACTTACGTATCAGGAGAGGTGCCTGGTCTTTTGGCGGCCGGTTTTGCAGAGGCGGCGTCTTTGCCAGATTCTACAAAGCAGACAAACGGTTGAAATCTATCCAACGAGGAATTGCTCTCTTACAAAGGTTTGACAGTTAGTGTGTGCGATTCCTTGTGTGCTCACCTTGCAGCCATCGGACTTGGGTGGCGGGACCGTAACCCTTCTCGTTGCGGGCGGCAATGCGGAAGATGATGGCAGGCTTGGTGGTGTAGTCGATGTGGGCATTGGAGAGGCTGGACGACTGCACCAAGCATGAGGGGTTGGGTCCACAGTACACGCGCATGAAGGCTAGCTGTGCCGGGGTGGAGGCCTTGGCCTCGGCCGTCTGGTTGCTCTGGATGGCCAGGTACACAGAGTACTCGATGATCTTCCCCGACGTCACTGAGGGCGGCTCCCAGGTCAGGTGGGCACCATCTGGGCTCTGCATAGGGACAGTGGACGATTACTACCCAGTGCCCGAAAGCAGCTGGTGTTATGTTTTACACAGATCCACAGCTAAATGAGGAAGGAAGGATAAGGGGCTTTACTGGCGTGTTTACCTTGCTGATTTTGATGGCGCAAGGAGCCCCTGGGAAGCCTGGCAGGCAAGTCTTGAAAGCAGATATCTCAGAGAAAGATCCACGGCCACAAGCGTTTATTCCAGCAACACGGAACTTGTAAGCTGTGCCGGGCTGCAGCTCCATTTTCTTCATCTGGCCGTAGTCTGGCATGACGCCAGAGTCATCCTGCCAAACAAAACGCAGGGATTAGAGATGCACTGAGACCTCCAACATGGAGTCATCCAAGCATGAAAGGAGCCTCCTGAGAAACTTACATCTCCTTGAGAGTTGTCTCCTGGCATATAGAAGTGGGTGACCACCATATTTGTCACTTTAACAATTCCAACATCGAACCACTGGTTCTCTTTTTTTACAACAGCCTTCACTGGGGTTGGCTGAGGGGCTTGTTTCTGTTAGAAAACAACAACAAAAAGAAAAACTGTTACATTTCTCCTCTCTTTGAGCAAGCTGAACCAGCCAGATGTTGTCCAATAGCTCACCTCTCCCTCGATCCCATTGGCGACCTCTGCTAGAGCGGCTGCTGCTTGCAGCTTGGCTGGACTTGCCACCGATACAGAGGGCGCAAACGTGCTTGATGGAGCGAGTGCTGCGGAGTGAAAAAGGAACAGTCAATCTCGGTTCAAAAAGACATCCGTCGCTAACCGTCAAAGAAAAGCAGTAAGTCTTACTCTCAGCAGTGGTACGTGGCAGCAGTGACGCCACAGCACTGGTGACCGCAGCAGCCATCTCATTGTGCCCGTTGCTCTCGACAGAGGGGTCGTTGAGGCTGTCAGCGGGGGCGAGGCCCTCGGTGGGCACGCTACTGTCCACGCTGGCCTGCTGTGCAGCAGCCTGAGCCTCCTGCAGCTGCAGCTGCTGCTGCTGGTGGACCAGCGCTGCGAGCTCCTGCTGAGTCAGCATGATGGGGATGGTGGTGGGCTGCTGGCTCTCACCAGTGGAATTGCTCTCATCTATGAACAGAGAAGATATTGAAGAATTCATTCACTGACAGCATGAATACATGGATCCGTTCATGCCTTTTCCCCCACTTTACTACAGAAAGACTCTAATCTATGACACTACATTTCACAATCAAAACCAAGTGTGCAGAGAGATCTGACGATACTATACTAGACTATGGCTGAACTCACTCATTACTGCTTGCTGGGCTGCCTGGAGGACAGCCTGGATAGCGAGGGCCTGGGCTTCTTCGGTGGCTGCTGCCTGAGCAGCGGCCTCCGCTGCTGCAGTCACAGCTAGCTCCTCGTCCGACAGCCCCGTCACCATGAGAGTGGTGCCCTGACCCTCAGACATCAGCTCTGAGGGCAGATTCAAGGCTGCAGCGGTGGCTGCTTCTCCCTGAGAGAACACATTACAGGTCATATACGCACTCTATACATCTTTAAATGAATGGACTTTAAGCCGACACTGGCATTTGTGTGACATTACACTGTTATTTACCTCTGCCTGCGTCTCCATAGCGGAGGCTCCCTCCTCTGCAGCTGCAGCTTCTGCTGATGCCGTCTCATCGGTTTGCATGGGTTCCTCTGTGGAGCTGGTAGCAGTACTCACACCCTCTGTGATTGATGAGATCGACTGGAGAAAGAAACAAAGAAAACATACAGATTGGTCGCAATGGGAAACTATGTTTCAGGAAGACATCTGCTGAGATTGCCATGACTCAGCAGTGGTGGTTAGATCACTTGTTAAGCTTGCCGGTGTATTAATGCGTTTCTTACAGGTACAGAGGGTCCGGGGGCCGGTGTGGACTGAGTGACGGTTGTGATGGCCCTGCCCTGAGTTGTGGTAGCCGTGGCTGCTGCTGCTGCGGCTGCTGCTGCTGCTGCTGCTGCAGTGGTGGTGGGGGTGGGGGTGGGGGTGGTCACTTCAGGGCTGCTGGTACCTTCTGCTCCCTCCTCTGTCTGCTGGGCTGTTGACATATTTTAAGTTAGACTTCCAACCAATACGTTTATTTCACAATCAATTAAATTACAGCACATTTGGGTATACCTGTGCCCTCGCCTGTCTCCATACTGCAGGTGGCAGTGGTGGCTGTGTTGGTGGTCCCAGTTTCGTGCGTTTCACAGGGCGGGTTGGAGCAAACCCTCTGGACCTGGCCCTCCGCTGTGCTGGTCTGGTCGCCTCCCATGCTGGAGGTGGCCGTGGACGGGGTGTTGGTGGTCCCCGTCTCGTGTGTTTCGCAGGGTGGGTTGGAGCACACCCTCTGCACGGTGCTCGTCTGGCCTGCGTTCATGTTAGATGACGACTGGGTGGATGTGTTGGTAGTGCCCGTCACGTGGGTCTCACAGGGTGGGTTGGAGCACGGCTGCTGGGCTCCTCCCATGTTAGCCGACGCTGTGGTGGCCGTGTTAGTTGTCCCGGTTTCATGGGTCTCGCATGGTGGGTTGGAGCACATACGCGGTGTGGACATGTTTGATGACGCAGTTGTGGCTGTGTTGGTGGTGCCTGTTTCGTGGGTCTCGCATGGCGGGTTAGAGCACATCTGTCCTCCCATTGCAGGAGAGGAGGTGGTGGCTGTGTTGGTGGTTCCGGTTTCATGGGTCTCGCAGGGCGGGTTAGAACAGACCTGTCCTGCTCCCATGGTGGCCGACGAGGTGGTGGCTGTGTTGGTGGTTCCTGTCTCGTGGGTCTCGCAGGGCGGGTTGGAGCACACCAGGGTGACGGTCCCAGAGCCGTCTCCAGCCGCTCCAGCCTCAGACGAGCTGGGCTGCTCAGAGGTGGGTGAAGCCAGGATGGACACTGGTAGATCCTGCACTGGTTGAGCTTCTACACCACTGGGAGTTGTGATCAGAGTCACCTGGGTGGGCTGGTTCTAGGCAGAAGACAATCAATTTAAGTTCTCTTTCAGTCAAACAGCTCAAAAGGGAAGTCCTTTTATACCCTCTCCCTAACTCTTATCCCATTGTTTATCTAGCAGTAGCTCTGCCGTTGTTCTGTAGTAACAGAAATGGCCATCAACAACATTTACAATCTTTTTCTTAACTTTTTAAATGTAGTAA